GTAGTAAATGATGCAATTTTTCATATCTAGACAGATTAGGAAAATTATATAAGGCACAAAAGTTTTTAGTTATATAGTAATTACTTAATAAAGAAGTTTTTCACATGCTTAGTCATTAGTTTATTCTTAATAACGTCATGACAAATTCCCCATTGCTTTGTCTAAACTGTTAAAGAACTGCGGTTTTCAATTTGGTATTGTGACTAATAGTGATCTCTAAATTGTCGCCGTTTTTCATCTAAAATTGTAGGATACTGCTAATAGGAATTGACAGACAATTTCCCGTTAAAATAATACGCCATAGATTTTCGGAAATCGCTACGAGAATAAAAACTCCTGCTGTGACAAAAGGTTTGTTGATTTTAGATGAATTCAGACCAGGAGAGTCGTGCAGTGACCATCATTTCAAGGTACTGGATCACGGATAAAACGTAAATGCAATGTCGGCGGTTGACGAAAGTTGAAATATAGTCAAATTTTTCATGTTGACAGCATTTTTTAATTAATATCATGCTGAATACCATCTGTCAAATTTTCTCCCCAAAAAGGAAATTAATGATTTCTTGAAAAAAATTCTTAAGATTGAGCATGTTTAGGCAAAGGTATAGTATAAAGGATATGAGTTTTACTTGAATATTTTTATTCTATACTAAATGGGTACAATGATAGGAGGTAGGCGGGTGTTATAGATTTTTTTGTCAAAAATCGAGTAGATGTAAATAATTTTCTGGAGATATTTGGACAATAGATTGCTTCATTACCGAAGAATTTGCAAGAAAAAATATTATATTGGGTACCGACAGAGAAATTGCATTTCCTGACGGTTGGAATCCCACTATCGGAAGTCAACTAAAATAAGATTGGCCCGTCTCTTATGATAGATAGGTCTGAGAAGTTCACGAAACGTTATTATACCGTTTCTACATTTGTAACTTTTTTGTAAATGCTGCTACTGATTTAATGGTATCGAAGCTCAATTGAAACGGATAATTTCACCGATAATTGAAAAATATCTAAAAATAGCTAGGAGAATGAAAACTTTGTGGATAAAAAAAAATCCACTTGAGCTTTTAGTGATACTGCAGAAATTAGCTACACCGGAAATTCACACTGTACAATTACAGTAAATATTTTCAGGTAGCAATTAAATTAAAAATTTTTGAGATGACTATTAGAAAATAATAGTCCAGTATGAAGAAGTGAATGAGCAAATCACGTGAATATTTCGATGATCCACTTTTAAATTCGGACCATGTTTTAGAACACAACATAAGTACCAACATTAAGGAAATTCACACCCACTTTAGTTTAATTTCATTTATTTAATTCAGTGAAGAAATTTCACATATTCATTTTTTGTTATCTCTTATACCTACATATTTTCCCGTGCGTTTTCAAACATTAGCGAACGCATCATGTTTTTCTTTTTTGACAGCCAGTTACTTGAATTTGTGGTACATACTAGCACTAAATGTTTATTTATCTTTTTACCACAAATATTATTCATTTAGTCGTCTTCAGATTTCGATATGTAGCTGAATGTCCTGAGTCTGTCCAAGTTAGTTTCAATACATTAAACAAAGTTTAAACGTGTAGCATTGTAGTCAAATTTTGTGAATTAAGTAAAATACTCAGAAATTTAAGACCAATTACATATTTAATTCCCAAAATAATTATTTCGGAACGTTCCAAAGATTCAGTAACTTTTAGTACGCAGTTCGTTACTCTCGAAAATGGTTGAAGTGATAACAGGTGGTACGAACAATGTGTTGTAGGGAATATTTTTTCAAACTATAACTAGGTAGGTACTGGTTTACGAAACTGAGATGATGAACAGGGATTGCGATCAATGGTACTACTCGTGCTATCAAATGTTAATTTCCAAAAAATACCACTGTAGTATATTCACTGAAACGAGTCACCTTGTCAAAACAACATCACGTGAATCTACCGATACTCCGTTCAATAGACGAGTGCACTTTCCGTAGAAACCAAATTAACAACAATTTATAGGAGCCCTTTTTTTGGAGGAGTAACAAACATTAAATATAATTGAAATCTGAAACTGCAAAATGCATTTCCGAAAAGCCTACCTGTGTGAACTACGTCTCGATCGAGACAAGATCTGACCAATCAAAACGCATAATTCGTTAACTAGTTTCAACGAATATAGTCTAGTGTTGATTTAAAGAATGTTTTGGCTACACTTTGGGATATTTACGCGAAAATAATTGCCAAGGCCATAAGTTCAATCTGCCTAACCTATTAGCAGTGACTATATATAAATATATATAGTCACTGCTATTAGATTCCAGTAATTTGTTGACACAACGTCCAGTGGTGACATTGCCAAACATTTTTCAGACAGAAGTTTTAACCATATCTCTGCAGTTTCCTGAACGACTTTTTTTAGTCGTTTTATAATATGCAGAACCTCCGAAATTATTCATCAGATCAACCACCTATTATTGCCTATAATTTGTAAAACTTCCATGTCTCGTATATATCCATGTGGGTGATTTTTCAAGCACTTGTTGCCATCGCCTTAATTCAAACAGTCAAGGAAATCACAACTGCACTAACCCGAACGGTCACGGACGTCCTAATGAAGTGTTCTCCCACACGTCCTTAACCCCCGGAAGGATCAAGCCTCGATTCTACATTTTATACATTCTAGCTTATGTTAACCACAATATTACGTCGACATACCTAGGTATTAAAGTGATTTTATGAACTCTGATCAATTATGCGAAAATTCAGCTCGTTTCAGGCTGAATACATTTCAGCTTCGTCTCACACCGGAGTCATGGGACAATCGTTGAATAGTTGTTTCGGGTAAATAAACAAATACAATGAGGTTAAAACTGCTTGCATGGCAACAGATGCAAAAAATTAAAGTTCCTACTTATTTTAAGTATGCAATTTTTGGTGGAGCATAAGGTAGTAATTGATATAAAAATTTCTCAAAACTTAATTTTATATTTCCATGAAATATTAATAAATCGACTTGTAAACCTTGAAAGTTCGATTGTAAGATTAGATTGCCTATTTTTGCCTTCTATAACAATCGTCGTTGAATTTAATGTAAGTTCAACTAATTTTCGATTTTACATTGACCTTAGCGTTACTAGGATTATTATGATAGCCATTAAATCATCCACTTTCTCAGATATTTGGAAAATAACAAGAATAGGCCTGCACACTACACTGAGAATTACCGTTTATAATAAAATTTCATCATCATTTTTACTTCCCAAGCGTAACCTAAGAAAGTATTATAAGCGTCGAGTCCATGACGCGACTAATGCTTTCATATTTTCTCGATGTGTCATGGGTTATGACCTCTAGAGCACAAAAACATAGGTCGCCCATTTCTGTCTGGTTGCCTGTCTGTCTGTCTGTCCGCGGTCTGTGTGAATTTTTTAAACAGATAATCTCGGATTGTTGTCAATTTTTACTTCCCGAGCGTAAGCGAGTCCGTCGAATATTTGTAAAGTTGTAGATTTTTTTATAAACGACCTGTATTAAAATTTAATTTAATTGATACCACAACACAGCGCGTATCTTTGTTTATCCTTCCACAAAATAGGAAAATTGGAATAAGGTGGCAATGTCGGATCGGAATTTCAAAAGGAGACTGTAGTTGTAAAGGCGAAAAAAAGGTTAATCAAAATATGTAAAGATATATAGCGTGTTTCATTTAAAGAAAACTAATTTGTGTGTTAGCGCCTTAAAAATAAAGCAGTCTGTATGATTAAAAATCATTTTAGAGTATAGTCCTTAAAGAACCGTGGAACTTTTGTCTTTGACTCTAATAATTAATAAGATACCGAGAACCGCGCGCTTAATGACTCACCCTGTATATCATTATTATATTATATTATTATAAGGTCAAACCTCGGTTCAAGCAAAAAAAAAATTGTACAAGAAAATCGCATGACGGAAAATCCATACTTATCACTTCGGAAATTATCAGACCTGATCATCTTACGCGATATGCCAGGGGATGTTAAGGAATGGGCTTGGACTATATCTTTACAAAATGCAAGTACGTTTTCTATTTTTTTTTTTGCACAGCCTCTAGATACTCGCTTTTTTAAACATTCGCTCCGCATGTCTAAACATTTAACTAGTAACTAGTAACTAGTGTTATATTGTACCGATCAAACGCAATGCATTTTTCCACTCTAAAATATTTCTAACATTATCAGAAAATTTTATTAAAAATATCTCGCACAAAACTTGAAACATAGCTGACTCCTTTATCAATACTTCACCTCTACTTTTGTTTTACGTATTGGAGTTTAAGAAAATTTATAATTTTTATCTATTTTTATCTAAGAAATTCGATTGGTTGAATTTACTGTGTTGTACGGGCAAGGACGAGGTTTATCTAAAGAACTTTAAAGCATTTTGTTTTGCTATACAAAGAAAAAAGAACGTAGTAGCAAATTATATTAATGAAAATAGAAACCATTATTTTTAAAATTTTATATGTTCCACATCATAGAAACGCGTACCTTTTGTGTAGAAATTGTGTACGTTTGGTTTACTCTGTTGACTTTAATTTTATCAGGAGTTGATGACCATGACAAACATTACATTAATGTAATTTCGTATTAATTTAGCTTATTTATAATGACGATAACATAAGCTGGGGGATAATTGAGATATATTGTTATTGGAAAAATAACAAAAGAACAAAATAATATCGTTATACCCGATTGTTGCGTGTTGATCGACTATTTGTATGTAATTTGTATTTTAAATGTAAAATAAATTAGTCTATATCATTAATATCCCCTCTGAAATTACCAAATGTTCGTTATGTGTACATTTACCCTGAATTCTCACACGTGGTGAGACTTTTTTTTAATCTTGGGCGCCATCTAATGTCAGTCCGGTCTACTAGTTTACGCACGACGCAGAAACACACATCAGGGGTTTTTTTACTGTTTAAAGTAAATACGTAATTTATGTATTTATAATTATCTACATACGTGCATTCAATTTTTGGTAAGTCGATTGACTTGATAAACTCTTCAACTTCTTTTTCATCATTCCAACTCTCCGAGAAATATCCGGAACTTTTACTTTTATTGCAGACAAGCACATCAGTTTCAGACTCTTCAACACTAAACTCTTTTTTGACAATCACTTTGTCCACCCAATCATCCACGTCTTCCATCACTTCTTTACCGGTCCGCCTGTATTCTTTGCCAATAAGAAGGTTCATGGTTTCCCAGAACTTGCCGGAGGACATTTTTGCTAGTATTTACGATTCTGGTAGCACCTCGAAAATGACAAAATCACGTACACATCAGCACATTTCTGCAGTGAGATGTCTTGTCATTTGACACGAAGGACGGCGATTGCTGGTAATTGCAAGAACACGCCAACAGCAACCCTCAGGTGCACGCGATCAAGACAACTTTGGGGTGGGAATTATGTACAGACAAGTTGCCAACGGTTTTCACTTGCTGGGTGTATGATTTGATTTGAATTAGCGGGGTGCGATGAACTTTGTTGGTATTGGTCTAAACCGAAACCAAGCAACGGTGGCTACGATGGTGCAATTTCTGTACACCTATGCAACCCCGCGATGTTTTGTTTATTTTCAGGATTTTGTTTTTATTGCCACGCCAGACTGACTTGGCAAAGATTAATTTTCAGTTCATTACCGAAATGTCAAGTGTGACGAGTGCAGATTTTTAGGAAATAATTCGCAGCTAATTATTCATTTTTATTAAATTAAGGACTTGTTAAATTGATTATTTTATGAACATCTTTGTGAGAAGCTCTAATTTAATTTTAAAGATTAAGGAACAATGGCAAGTATGTCCTCTGCAGCTCCAAAATGATTTTCACTTAATTTTTCAGTGGCGCGGTAAACAAGTAGAGAAAATTGTGGTTTGTTTGTGCAGCACGCATCTGATCTAATTAATTTTCTCTCTGATTATTATTAGTGCTAACAAACTTACATTCCATTAATTAATGTTTACTTGCATTTTGTTTATTTATTAAATGAAGTAAATGTTGTTCAAATGTTAAATCAACAAAACTTCTAATCCAAGACAAATATTTTTAGCGAAGTTCAAGGTGAAAATGAGTAACCTTTGAAATATAATGTGAGATTTACTTTCACAGATAGTTGTGCGGAACATGTCAGAACATATGAGCATTGAGTTTTAAAAGAACGTGAATAATTTTTAAATAAACATTAAATATATCTTACAAGATTGGGAATTTGCAAGGTATATTTGCTTAGCTTGTCGACAATACTTCATTTCCCATTTCCAAAGTATTACTTCCATCAAAAGAATTTTATGTTTACCAGCTGCATTTATGACGAATTCTTAATATAATGGATTGTGTGGACTTTCATCACAAAGGATAAACTACATTGTTTCACTTTACTTTTTAACGCAGTTTTTTTATCGATTACCTATTTAATTTCATTTATTAATGTCAGGTCTTTTTTCAAGTTAAAGTTCAAGGTTTCAAATCTAACCTTCTCTTGTTGTAAGCCGAATTTGGCAATGTATAGAAATGGAGGTATACATTAATGGCAGTGAACAACGTGATCAAAAATATATTGGGTAATTTCGAAATATAAATGGTGCAAAACCCTAATAAACCACCCTCAATGAGATGTCATTGATCCACCTTTTAAACAGTACCATAGGTAGAAAAATCTCCAAATAAAAACGATGCAAACACTTTCAGTTTCAACTAAAATGAAACCGACTTTTTGCTGGTTATTATCATTCGTTCATTCATCGTTCAAAATCAAAGCAATATTAGTTGCAGAAACAAATGGACTCTTGAGAAGGACCGATTTTTGGTAATGCTTCATGGTGACTTTTTACTCTGACGCATGTTTGGTCCTTCCCACAACGATTCCACATTCTTTTTAAAATAAATGTTGAAAATGTTGTCCTTGATTAGCAGTACAGGCTTCAGCACGTTGCAATATGCTTGCACGGACACGTAAAAAAACTCCGGGAGTTCTATGAACTGTAGCGGCTGCCACTTCCAGTCGTTGTTGAAGACGTTCCGTAGTTCGTAGACACTCTTGATTTCCACAAACTAACTGTTTCTACCGTCCCACTGGTTAGAAAAACGGCTTTTTAACCATTCAGTTACTGGCCTAGCAAAATGTGGTGGTGCTCCATCATGCAAGTACCACATGCGAACTCGTTCACCTAGAGGCACTTCCACATTTGTCTGATAAAACATAAGGTCCAACTAAGCGGCCATTTACGATACCGACACGCACATGTATAGAAAACCGTCGTTGAAATCGTACTTCTTGACGAGCGTGTGGAGTTTCATCGGACCAAGTGTGAGTATTGTAGGTGTTGAAAACAGCAGTGCTAGTGAACGCTGCTTCATCCGTAAACAGAATGCAGTTTAAAAAGTTAGGGTGTTCACGCCATTGCAGTAACAAACATTCGCAGTAAATTACACGACGTGGAAAATCAACAGGCTCCAAAGCTTGCGCTTTTTGAACGTGATATGGATGTAGGTGTTGTTCTTTTAATGTACGATGCATTACAAACTGTGAAACTCCAACTTCAGCTGCAAGTCGGCGCGTGCTGATGTCGGGCTCTTCTTCGACGAGTTCTAAAATTTGTTCTTCAGATCGTGAGTTTGAGGCTTGAAGCTACCATGATCTGGGAGATGTTTTACCACTGATGTAAATGTTCGCGCACACGGAATCGTGCAAATTGGAAAGCGGGCCAACCTGGCGTTTCCCTCAGCCGCACCATAAAGCATTGCCATGTCGCCACGCTCTGAATTGTAAAAATTCATCATTGTCAAAGACACACGGCGACAACCAACTGATACATGACTGGTCCTTATCATGTTTTTGCACGCTACTTATCAGTGCACCTCTGTTTTAGTTCTTAATCTTAGTTGCCTGTATTCATTGAATAGTTGTGGTAGGTTAAGAAACACTATCAGTGGCGTGTATAACAATTTATATTTAATTTCAAATATTTTTTCCTATACATTGTTACCCCGTGAACTGTACATACACATGGTGCAATAAATCTTATTGTGAGGTATTCTCCATTTTTTTTATTGCACAGATGTAATAAGCTTCACAGAATTTTTGTAAATTGTTTTTATTATTCATAACAAATACTGGAAGTGGTTTCCTTTGTTGGCAAGACACATATTAACTCTTCTTTTCGTGTCATCAAATAGGTACTAGATGTAGAGATATATTTTCAAAATCACGAGTTATTGTTTGTTGAAGTTAGTCAAGGATATGGGACCTATCTTTGAAATCTTTGTTCTTCAAATGAGCAAAAAAAATCTGATACAATGAGATCTGATGATCGTGGAGGCTACAGTCGCTGATTTATAATTCGATCAGCATAAATTTCCTGCAATAAACGAAGTGTGTATCTTGCTGGGTGGGTCGTCTTTCTATTTTGCTTAAAGTAACCGTATTGATATTGTTTATCATGCAATTGTTCAAAAAAGAGTGCTAAAATAATATAATTCTTGAAATGGCTACCCAAACTATAACTTTTACTGAATGTGAACTAGTTTCTACAAAAGCATGAGGGTTTTCAGTAACCCAAGTTCTATAATTTTGACTATTGACATACCCGTTCAAATGAAACCATCCTTCATCGGGAAAAATATAAAGTCTAATAAAACATCATTATTTAAAGTATTATTGAACCCTTGACAATAATTAAAAAAATGAGTGAACGACACTTCGAATGGATATTCCCACTGAAGAACCTGCAAAATTTAACTATTAAATTATTTCGGAAAACCTCTTTAATTCTTATGAGACTAATCTTTATCTCCCTGTTAAATAAAACGTCTGACAAGATCTTTACCTTTAGATCATGTTCTAAACGATGTTGAATGTTTTCTGTAACTTCGGCTGTCAACACAGTTTGTCTGCCAGTCGACTTTCCTTTGCAAATACCATTTTTAGTCTCAAAGCGATGAGCAAAGACTCCCTTATGATTTGCAAATGTTTGAATGTTTGATATGGAATATTTGCATCTGGACAAGCTTCCACAAATTAGTCAATACATGACTGCAGTGAATAAGATCAAGTTCCGTCTGGGCTACGGGTCCCACTTCTAAAGTGAGACACCGGAATGAAAACATCATGTTCGGGTGGGAAAGCCATTGTTAAACAATAAGTTTTTCTGAAGATGTCAAAGAAAACTTACTTCATTTTAGATAGAGAAATTTGGTTACTTTTCATTATCACACAGTTTTTTATGTTAAGACGGTAAATTCTGAAAAGAAACTGCTTGTAATGAAATAAACAATTAGAATTAGACATTTTAGCAAAACTAATTTGCCAATTATTATGATTAATGTCAGCCGATTTATATATCATGTAAAAATAAAATACTGATCACGACTGTTGGTAATATTTTCTTTTCCACTACGATTTTTTGCGATATTATATCTCAAACAGGTCATTTAAACGTTAGTTTTGTTAGTTCAGTTTTTTTTCTATCTTTAATAAATAATGAGACACTGAGTAGCGCGCATTTAATGACTCACCCTCCATATGCAGATCGCTAGAATGTTTGGAAATGGTTAAATATCTTGAGAACCAATTGTACAAATCAGCTGAAATTAGGTACAGGAGTACAAAAAGTTGTACTCTAATTACTAGCCAAAACATTTTTTTTTACTTCATTTGTTTTCGAGATGCAAGTCCAAGTTTATTTTTTTTAAATGGTACTACCATAATGCATTTTTGAATAGAGCTTTTTTTTAATTCACTGATATATCACAATCATACTTTCGTTCTGATTGAGATGGCAAAATAAATTATTTAACAATAATAATTAAATACATTAATAATTCTTAATTTTAATTAATTTTAAATAATAAATAAATTAACAATAACAACCGAAACCAAAATTAAACATCTATTTTCTGCAAATGATGCTCGAAATGCTTTCCACTTACCTATTTCCTGGTGGTAAAAAAGACGTTTAATACAATTTTGTAGTGAGTTAATGAGAATTTCTGGACAAATACTAACAATTTCGTTCCGTAGCCCAGGAAAAAAGTCAAGCGGTGACAAATCCGGTGATCTGGCAGGCTACTCATTAGTACCTCTTCGGCCTATCCATCTGCCAGGAAAAGTTTCATTTAAATACTGTCGCACTTGACTTCCAAAGTGGGGTGGAGCACCGTAAAACAAAACAAAAACATTTTTTTTGACGAATAATTAGAGCACAACTTCTTGTTCCTCTATACCTAATTTCAGTTGATTTGGACAATTAGTTCTCAAAACATTTAACCGTCTTGTTGAAACAAAATAGTTTTTGCTGGTAGCTCTGGATTTTGGTAATTGGGAAACAATTCTCTAAGTCTAGACACTAGACTATAGTTCCCGCAACAGCTTAAATTATCCCTTAG